CAAATGATCTGCTTCAATGCTTGTGTGTACATGCGAAGCGTGTGCGAAGCGAATTCGAAAGAATATACAAGTAACGTGAAATAAGTAGGAAAGTATCGGTGTGATCGATATAATAACAACGGTGAAATAATTACTTAAAGCGACGGCGAAATAATTATTTAAAGCGGCGTGAAATAATCGTAAAAGTATTGGTGAGATTGGTATAAGCAACGGTGAAACAATTATTAAACAACAGCGAAATAGTTATTAAAGCGGCGTGAAATAAATACAAGAGCAGCGTGAAATAAATCTGAAGTATCGGCAACGGTGAAACAATTATTTAAGCGAACGGCGAAATAATTATTTAAAGCAGCGTGAAATAAATACAAAAGCGACGGTGGAATAAATATGAAGGCGACGGTGAAATAATTATTTAAGCAAACGGCGAAATAATTATTTAAAGCAACGGTGAATGAATTATTAAAGTTTGACGTGAGGCGTCTCGGTGCGATCAGCGAGAGCGCAAGCGCGGGCGATCGTGTCGCAGCGGTTGGTACAACGCAACGCTCGTCAGTGAGTGCGTTCGTGATGGTACCGCGAGTCCGTTCGATCGTAGATCGTGACGGGTTGCTCGACGGCGCGGATTGGTCGACGCAGTTTGCCCGCCGGATGGATTCTGCGGATGAATCCCGGTGCGCGATAACGCGAAGTTAGGAACAGGACGTCGAGTACGCTCGACGGGAGTACGAGGACGCTCGCACTAGAGGCTGTGAGGCCGAATCTGGTCGGCGGACGTACGAGAACGCTCGTACGAAGGCGGATTTAGAGCGGCGATCCGACTAAGTATAAGGGAATGCCCTGTATATGAAGATCGATGCCCGGAGGAGCCGAGTACGCTCGACGGGTATACGAGAACGCTCGTATCGGAGATAGAAACGGTACCGAGGACGCTCGTGTACCTGGAAGAAGGCATAGAAGCCGAGTACGCTCGGCGGACTACGAGAACGCTCGCAGCAGGATTGTTCGCTGTCTAGCAGCGAACAGGATCTGGTGATTAGGCGTACAGCCGGGCCTCTTTTATACCCGGCTGGCGGCCGACTGACTTCGGATCGGCAAGCATCGGCGGTTTCGGCGGCGAGCCCCCCACAAAACGGAAATTTGGAACGGTCGGGTGTGGGGGGTTTTCGGCGATTGACCGCCGTTGTTATGATAAGAAGTTTATCGGCGCTCGATGTGCCCTTGGTGGGCTACGGACGATGGTTGGTCCGTAGCTGTAACGATGCAGCTTGCGGGCTGCACCGTTACAAAGTATTGCATAGAATCACCGCTGCCGGTCTTACCGTGAATCCCGACAAATGTGAATTTTGCCGTGCTCAGGTGCGATATTTAGGATTTCTTGTACAAAGAGAGGGGCTAATGGTAGACCCTGAAAAGACGCGACCGATCCTCGAATATCCCGCGCCGCTAAACATCAAGCAATTGCGCCGATTTTTAGGCATGTCGTCCTGGTATCGACGATTTATTCCGCAATTTGCCACTCTTAGCGAGCCATTGACACGCCTTTTGAAAAAAGGCAAGCGCTGGGAATGGGGGAGTGATCAGGTTCGCGCCTTCGATCAGATTCGAGATCATTTAATTACCGCACCAACACTGGCGTGCCCGAATTTTGAAGAACCTTTCGTATTGCAGACTGACGCTAGTTCTGTAGGGTTAGGTGCCGTTTTGGCTCAAAATATTGATGGCGAAAAAAAGGTAATAGCTTTCGCAAGTCGAGCTCTGGCAGGCCCCAAAACAAGATACACAGTTACCGAGCAAAAATGCTTAGCAGTCGTTTCGGCGATAAAGAAATTCAGACCATATCTTGAAGGCTATAAATTCACAGTTGTTACCGATCACAGCAGTCTACGCTGGTTACATAATTTGAAAAATCCAACAGGTAGATTAACTCGATGGGCTCTTGAATTATTAGAGTACGATTACGAGGTAATTCACAGGAAAGGTGCCTTACATCACGTGCCTAATGCACTTTCTCGCATGTTCGAAACTCAAGTTACCGTGGAAAATTCAGATACCGTTACCGATACCGTTAATTTGGTTACTGAGAATGATACCGCTGGCGCGCTTGCCGCTGCCGATACCGCTCCGGTGATAGATACGAAAGATGATTGGTACCGCAAAAGATTTAAAGAGGTGATATCAAGTCCGAATAAATACACACAGTGGAGGGTAATAGACGGACAATTGTATTTTTTGAGGCCGAAACGCGTGATTTCCGAGATAGTCGAAGACCTCGACCGTTGGAAATTAGTCCTACCGAAAGAATTGCGCCGAGAAGTCTTAAAAGATTCGCACGACGCGCCGCAGGCAGGTCACCTAGGCGTAGAGAAAACCTATCAGCGTGTCGTCGTGTCTTATTTTTGGCCGAATTTGTTTCGTGATGTTACCGACTACGTGCGAGCGTGCGATATTTGCCAGCGCACCAAGGTCGAACAAACGGGTCCCGCAAGTCTCATGGGTCGCCGAATTGCGGACGGCTCATGGAAAACCGTAGCTGCCGATATCATAGGGCCATTACCGCGTAGTAAATCGGGATTTTAGTACATTCTTGTTATTCAGGATTTGTTCACCAAATGGATGGAGTGCAAGGCACTTAGATCGGCTACCGGAATCAAAATTAAAGAGGCCCTCGAAGATTTAGTAATCTCACGGTGGGGCGCTCCGAAATTTTTATTGACGGATAACGGTACCAAATTTATCAATAAAACGATGAAGGCGTTTGCCAAAGGGCGTAATATCACGCACACAACGGTACCGCCCTATCATCCTCAGGCTAATCCCGTAGAGCGAGTAAACCGCATTCTTAAGACAATGGTCATTTCGTTCATAGAGAAGGACCATCGCGAGTGGGATGAACATTTGTTCAAATTCCGCTTCGCGTACAACACCGCGTTTCATTTGTCCTTAGGGACATCTCCCGCGTTCCTCAACTTAGGAAGGGAGTTAGAGCCGGTGCAATCACTAAAGCGTCGCGATAATAAGGTTACCGAAATTGAGAGTAAAGATACCGCAGAATGGGGGGAGCGCATAAAGAAACTGCAGTCATTGCGCGACTGGATTATCGAAAATTTAGACCAGGCTTTCCAGAAGCAATCTTCCCGATATAACTTGCGTAGGCGTGATAGACGTTTTGAGGTCGGCGATTTGGTGCTAAAGCGACAGCACATATCATCTGCGGCGCAAAATATAGCCGCAAAACTGGCACACAGGTTCCAGGGCCCTTTGAAAATCTCGCGGGTGATCTCGCCCGTCGTGTACGAGCTATTCCAGCTGGACGGATCTCCCGCGGGTAAGATTCACGTACAAGACCTGAAACCATATTGCCTTCCCGATCCCGAAAATAGATGCAGCACAATGTAGCGGATGGCGAAGAATTGCGCCGCATCTCGCGCGCATTTTGGCACCGCCATCGCCGTGTATGGCGATTTATACATAATCACGAGCCCGGCTTCTGGGACGATTTATGGGACACGATGGAGGTGGCCCGGAGATGGCGCTGGACGGAGGAGGGCGCCGTCGTAACCGAGCCTCACTCCACCCGGAACGAGGCGACTCAGACGTCCGCCCGGACGACGAGTGACGCGGCGGTGGGCACGACCCGGGGTCCGACCAACGAGGTCGGCACCCAGATGGGCAACCAGGCGGGCGCCCCGAAGAGGCCTCCCGTCCAAGAAGATTGGCTGCCGCCCCCGCCGCCGAATAAGGCCTTGAGGGAGTCGTTAGCCCGACGCTGCGGGGCCCCTCCAGCGGAGAACCTGCGGCCTCCGGGAGGCTGCTGGAACTGCCTGTCGGACTTGCATGCCTACCCGGAGTGCGACCTCCCCCGCATGCAGAATTTCTGCTACGGCTGCGGGGAGAGGGACGTGACCGTCCGCACCTACCGACACTGCGGACCCGCCTACCGCCAAACGGAGCCCGGCACCGGGCTCAGGGCCCAGGGGACCGCGAAGGCCGCGGCAACGAGGCAGCCGGGGGCAAAGGTCACGTCAGGAATCCACCGGATCCGAGGGATGGCCGTGGCGAAGCCAATCGGAGTTCTCCTCATAGTGAGGACCCAGGGAACGCAGACCCCCAACGTTTTTTTCTTTTCTTTCTTTCTTCCTTCTTTTCTTTTTCTTTTCGTTTCTTTGTTTTCTTTTTTATTTTCTTCGTCTCTTGACTATTTTATTTTCTTATTGCCCGCGTAGGTTAAGCTAGTACCTTAGTTTTTTTGTGTTTATTCTTTTTTTTTCTTTCTTCTTTTTCTTGTTGTATTCTCTTTTGTTGCTACCGACAAGTCGCTGCACCGACAGTGCAACAATAAAACCTGTCAACCAAGTCGTGTCTGTTTCCTTACCCTACCCTAGTAGTAAGGCGGGAGCTCTCCGTTAATCGGGAGACCCACCGCGACCCTCTTGTGGACGCGAACTTCGGAGAAACTCTCGGAATCGTCGCACGCGGAGTCCGAACAAGGCAGGAGAGGAACATGCACGGTGACAGACTGTCAAAAAAAAATTTTGCGGTTTGTGGTGAGAACACCCAGGTAAGGCTATCGGAGGGGCGGTCACCGGCGTTCGTCGGGACCGAAGCCCCGCGGTCTTTTTCTGGGAAGGGGGAGTTGTGACGTGACGCTTTTCGAGCGCCGTCACAAGGGCGATAGCCCGGCCGAGG